ATTACAGGGTTTAATGATACTTATTGGAATTTAAAGAAAACTGCTATTCAAATCATCTTGACCTTAGAGCTAATAGAAGCCGAAACATAATGAAATCTTGATAGTAATTACTGTGTTAGAGCATGTTCAGAAGAATGGATAAGCTCCTCCATCTTTCTTTTTTCCAAATCAGGTGAAGATGTTCCTAAATTTTTTGACAGTTTAGGCTGATTTTGGTTTTCATAGGCCTTGGAGCTTATGAGACTCCAAGAATATTTCTTTCAAAATAATTTATGCAATTCTAAACTGAGTAAGGAAAAATGATCTAAACCTATGCTGTTCAGTATAGTAACCACTAGTCACATATGACTGTTTAATTAAAGTAAAATTAAAAATTCAATTCCTCAGCTGTACTGTTCATATTTCAAGTGTTCAATAGTCACATGTAACTAACTAGTGGCTACTACATTGTATAGAACAGATGTGGAACATATTCATCATCACAGAAACCTCTATTGGATAGTGCTCATCTAAAGCATTCCTCTCATTTTCTGTGGAAGGGTATCTTAATTAAGATTTATAGCTATTCTCACATACTAAGGAAAATTCCCAACTCATCTCCTCATCATTTGGGACATTTAAAAATACCAGCCACCACACAGGCTATGGATCTATTTTTAAAGGCATGGGGAGTGACATCGTCTTTTAACCCATCACTGGATGTGACAAGATTTAAAAAAACAGAAACAAAATGAAAAAGGAAAACCTTTTTAGCAAAAGCTACTACTTCTTTGCATCTTTTCTCAATAACTATCAGAAAATCATTATGGCTCCCTGCCTGACAGGGATGTTTCCAGTATTAATCACAGGAGGTACGCATTGAAATCAAGAACACAGTGCACAGCTCCAGCCTTTAGAGCTAAACAGAGAATGATCTGCTCTGAATATGGAGTTATCCATATGACTAAACTGAATCATCCAAGCAAGTAAAAAGGAATGTTTTTGTTAACTTGACTTCAATTGGTTGAATGAGCTAAAACATCCCAAGGATAATTGTGTAATCACTGTAAAGAGTAATTATAAATATTCATCCCTGAAGTGCTCTGTCACTCTTAAAAAGTACGTTTGGGTAGGATGAGATGAGGACGTTAGAGATACTGATGTGGATTCGTTCTGTTCAGCCAGACTTAACAGGGACGTATCTTAGATTTTCAGTAATATTCATTCAGGTTGGAATAAATGGTATAGTTCTGTTCACCAGACACTCAAAATTTCTCTCATCACCATGCCTAGAGGATAAAATGTAAGTGCTTGGGAAAGAAGAAAGAATTGTGAGCCTGCCATTCTGAAATGGAAGTTAGAATTCTAAAGAAAAGTTCTAAATATTGACCACATTTTACTGGAATATCTTAAATTACTTAACTGTACCTTTTTCTAAGATTTTATTTTTTTTAAGTAATCTCTAGACCCAACGTGGGGCTCGAACTCAGAACCCGGATATCAAGAGTCTCAAGCTCTACCAACTGAGCCAGCGAGGGACCCCTCTATTTCTCTTTTAAATAGTTTGATTCCTGGTAGATTTTAATCATCTTAAAGCATATATATTCCTTTCTCTTAATTTTAAGATTGTTTGTTGTGATACAAAATCGTACTTAAGATGTAAACGTCTGATTAGATCATTAACTAGGAGAAAAAAAACTGGCATCTATGTGCAGGTGATCAGATGACATAAGCAGTCTGGTTTTAATTTGTGGCCAGTACTGATTGTAACTAAAAGAGACTTGCTCTTTTTGTGGAATTGGCTGACTATTTCCCTACATCTGGAGTTAATAAAGTCTTTGAGACCACATCAGTTGCGCTTTGCCGCAAGAACTCTTTGATCTGAGAAATTGAGACTGGCGCAACTGCTGCTTCATAACATTGCATCTATGTTTTTGCAAGCTATGGTTAAGATACCAAAAGTAAAGTTATTTGGCTGGTGTTAGAAATGCTGTTAGATGGGCCTCTTTGAGAACCACGTTTTTCAAAACATTTTTATTATGATTAAAAACTTTGAACTTAGGTTAGTAAATAAATGATAAACTTTTAATAGCTTAGAGTTTTCACCATTTTCATTTATAAGATCTATCTTTTAAAAGTCCATTTATTCTTTTTCAAACTCTGTTTATAAAGACTAACATTAAAAACAGCTTTACCTCTAAAATGAGCCCTGTTTTTTGCATACAGCTTAAAATTTTTACATACGAATAGGCTAGTCTCTTCTGCTTTGTGTGGTTTATCTTGGTTTTCTTGTTTTCCATGACAGCAATCATTAACCATTATATGATCAGCATATTCTCCTTTATTTAACTGTGATTTGTAAGTCAGTACAGTCAGGTTTATCCTTTAATCGCTTTTATAATTGCAAACATTTAGAATTTTTTAAAGTGTAAGTATATTATGTATGGAATACAGTGAATTGAATGGGAATAAGGATAAATAAATATAAATTGACAAATTATACATTTAATTGACAAATTATGTAGATTTCTGTGTGTGTGAGATGACACATCAAAACTGGAGTTTTTTTCGTAAGTTGGAGGCTTACATACTATTTCAATCTATAACCTGGATAGAATTAGAGAATTCTATGTTTCATACTTTGAGATCAAGTGATGGTGTATATAGTAAATAAGCATTTGTGACAAGAAGCATATGTTCTAATGCTGTCTTCTAAATTTTATTCTCATATGTATTTTCTTGCTGGGTCTTGATTTACTTTATTCTTCATTGTAGTTTCAGCCTAGTTTGGAAAAATCCTTGTATAAAGGGGACAGAGGACATCTAGCTGTGGCTAAGTTTAGATACTGACACTCGATTAAAAGAAAAAAGTGCAAAATTCCTTTCCTGAAAACTTTTCCTGCCCATCAGCATTCAAAACACATTTGTGTATACACAATTATTTCACTGTGACACTATCTTATGTAATAGCGCTAAACTAGAAAAATACATTTAATATCTGTAATGGGGAAGAAAACACATTTTATCTGCCATATTCCTTTATCTGCGGTCTTTCTGGGTAGTTCTTAGGAATCCATCTTGTCTCAAACTTCTCAGGCACCACAGGTGTGTAGTCTTTACCTCTGGGATGGGAGAGGAAACTAACCTAAATGTCCATCCATTGAAAAGAAACACCTGTGCTGGTATGACACCGACTAGCAAGAAAAGTAAAAATAAACTTTTCAATCTTTTATTTAGCATGAGTTATATTTATAAGTAGGATTATGCAGACAAAAACTGGAAGAACTGCATTCAGGAACTGAACAAGGGCAATATTTTGTAGAATAACAGCTTCTACAAGAACGACAGAAAGATGATTGAGATACTATTAGCGAATACTTAGTGCTTACTGTGCTAAGTATTGTATGTGTATTATCTCATCTGATTTTCCCATCAACCCCCTGATGCAAGTACTGTTAGCACCACCTTACCAATGAGGAAATTGAGTCTTGGAAGCTTAGGTAATTTGTCAAGAGTCTTTATAGTTAGTTAATGCCTCAGAGGAAGAATAAATGAATATAAATGATAGTTTATGTAAATAAAATTTTGGCGCACATTTTAATCTCAGTGTGTGCTTCCTCAACTCTTTTATTAGTGCATAGATATGCTCAGGATAAAATACCAGACTGTGGAAGGACATAAAGTAAATGTCTTCCCTCCCAATTCTAAATCCAGAGGTGTAACCACCAAGTTTATGTGTAATCCCAGAAATTTTCTATGCTTATGCCAAAAATATGTGTATGATTTTTTATACATGCTCCCATAATTTTAAAAAGGTAGCTGTTTTCTTCCACTTAAGTGAATACTTAGGATTTTTATTTGGAATGACATTTAATGGATGTACCCTTATCTAACTAAACAAAAGAAATATGTGTCCTACACTGTTCACAATAGGACACCTTTCCATTCTTCCTGACCCGTGGTTTACTTTTGCTTTTACAGAGTGTGCATTACCTTAATTGTTTATTTTTTTCCTTCTTGACTTTAGTAATCATCATGCGAATGGTTTTGATTATTAAGGTTATTTAGCTGCCCATTTAGTTTTACAGAGAAATGGCAATGTTGGCCATTTGCCAATTCAAAATGTTCATAGTTTGCTTATCTGAAGCAAGGGTTTACCAAAGGAAATTAATACTGCTCTGACAAATTGAGATTTTTCTTTTTTTTTTTTTTAAGATTTTATTTTATTTTAGAGAGAGAGAGAGAACACGCCTGCTCGCAGGAGTAGGGGGAAGGACAGAGAGGGGAGAGAGAGAATCTCAAGCAAACTCTGCACTTAGTGCAGAGCCCCGCACTGGGCTTGATCCCATGATCATGACCTAAGTGAAACCGGGAGTCAGACTCTCAACTGACTGAGCCACCTAGGCACCCCTAAATAAGATTTTTCTTAAAGCTGTGCCAGACTTGAAAGTGTACTTGAAATTAGGACCCCTCAGCAGAATTTGGTTTTAATTTTGCTAACCCTACTAAGTTAAGCAAGTTTCTGAAAACTTGCAGTGTGCCTTTTATGGTTATCCTTTAATAATAACAAAGTATAGTAACCTTTAATCTAACTCGTTTTGATTTTAATACATCTCGTAACAGTGAAAAGAATGAATCTTATGAACCCAAAATTTATTTCATGCTGTATTCAAAAGACACTGTTTCCGCCACCACATTTTGAATCATGAGCTTATATGGATTGCAAGCAAAGTCAACATTTATGACTTTATTCAACCACCTGGTATAATTGTCACACAAAAATGCATTATGGGGATATTTGGAGTAGTATTTTTCTCAAGTAATCAGCTAAAAACAAATATGTAGATAGTAACCAAGTTAGATTTATATATGTGGATTTAGTTTCTTTGGATTTGTGGCAGCCCTTTATAGATACTAGCTAGGACTTTTTAGGCCCTTTATGAAATGTAACACTCATTTTACATAAGTGATAGATATGATAGTCATTTACATTTTAATTAAATTTCCTGTTTAATTTTAAGGTATATGCACCATCCCCAAATTCAGATGATTTCAACCGTGAATCTCCTAGTTATCCATCTCCCAAGCCACCAACCAGTATGTTTGCTAGCACTTTCTTTATGCAAGGTAAGTACTGCTAAATAGTTGTCAATCCTACAGCAGTTATCTATTGTATATTAGCTAATATTTAAGATTGTGAGGAAAGAGAAAACCTACACAGGAATTCAGTTATTATTTCTAGATATTTTTGGCCAAAATAAATTAAAATTTAGGTCTAAAATTTCTAATGCTATTTATTGCTGACTGCAATATAGTTGGACTATCCAACAAACCATTAGAGTGTCCCATCTAGTATTGATCAAACTTAAAAAGGACTTCAGTTGAGAAAAATGAGTAGAGCTGCTCTTTCTCATTTTAGAATTGAAACAAATGAAAGATATTAACAACTCTAGTTTCTTATTTAAATTACAGACTCTTACCACCCCTAGAATGATCAATATAAATAGAGTGAAAATCAAAGAACAGAATAAGACTTGTTAAGAGTGAAAAAGTGTTGCATTTCCTTTAATTCATGTCTAGCAAATAATTTTTATTTGGTCTCATATGGTTTTGGACTATGGGAAGCATATACTATGGGAGCAATAAATCACTACATAAACGCTTCCTTGACTTTACACTGGTAAGTGAAGTCATTGCTAACACATTTCATTTGAAGGCTGACTATAATATAGTCATTGATAAATTGATAAATTACTTACATTTACTATTAGAGAAACTTCTTTATTCCAGTTTCAGAAAGTTTGATATAATGTACATTGCTTGTTATAAAGAATTTTTTGGTATATTTATGGTTATACCATTTAACCAAAATTAAATCCAACCCATCCCCAAATTTGAGATTTTTATTATCCTCTTTGATATGAATTTAAATCTTCGAAGGATTTTTATAACAACCTACCTACTGCAGTTTGGATTACTTTTTTTCCCCCTCTAACTTTAGAGCTTTATTCCCTCTTTTTAAACAGTAATTGAGAGAAGGAAACTAGATAGAAGACTGGCTTGGAAAGGGGAGGGGAAAAAGTATCTGGAGGGTATCCTTTTGAATTCTTACGGCCATCATCAAAATAAAAAATTGTAGCTAAGGACAATTTTATATTTCTCTTTTCGTCTTAGATGGGACCCACAATTCTTCTGACCTTTGGAGTTCATCAAATGGGATGAGCCAGCCTGGTTTTGGTGGAATTCTGGGGACCTCCGCTTCCCACATGTCTCAATCCAGTAGTTACGGCAGCCTTCATTCACATGACCGCTTGGTAGGCTCTAACACGTGGCTAGGGTGCAGCAGCACTTGGTCCTCACTTGTGTTTCTCTTTGGATTACAAGTGTAAGATTTGATTCTGCCAAAACTTGTGACATTTGAAATACTTCTAGGCTCACTGCCTTTAGCATGTCTTTTTAAAAAGTAAATGACAGTAGTAGTGCTCTTCAGCTGCTAACTTGTAATATTCTTTCTGACCTGTTATAGTAGTTGTCCAGTTATATGAGCATATTATTCAGAAAATGTATTTAATAGATCATGTCTCTTTCCCCCTTTCTCTAGAGCTATCCTCCACACTCAGTTTCACCAACAGACATAAACACGAGTCTCCCACCAATGTCTAGCTTCCATCGTGGCAGTACCAGCAGTTCGCCTTATGTTGCTGCCTCACACACTCCTCCCATCAATGGATCAGATAGCATTCTAGGTAAGCTTTTTTTGGGTTGGCAAAACTCCCTAAAACCTACTTTGGGGATTTTCAATGAACCCCACATCTTTCAATATATTTTTTAGTATTGAGTTTTATATATAT